GCGATTTCCCTCTAGCCCCCCAAACACCCCCAACGTGAAACAATGTTTAAACCAACATGCTCTTCCCAAAATACCCTCATACAGCTCGTCACCCTATCAAGCCAGAAATATGGAAATAGTACTGTAGCATTAATTGGTGGTTAGAATGGGGGTTTTTGAGGGGAAAAACACATTTCCCTCTAAATTATTACCATATCTATCCCCCCTCCCGCAGTAAAACCATCTCCTCCCCGTTTTCTTACCCCAACTACTCCCTGGCCACTTAATTCTCCTCAATAAATCCTCTTTGATTTTTCAACTACTCTTGTTTAAAATAACGGATTGATCTCTTCTTTGCATGGTGACAAACGCAAAAAGCAACGACGAGGGTGACAATGTTTTCGTAGTTATCAAAGGGACTACAGAAATCATTAGCTTGAATTATCAAGTGTCACAAAGGCTTAAAATACAAATACAATCTTTTTCACTGAAATTCATATGCGAAAGGGAAAAGAAATTCAGTATTTCAATTGATAATGACGAGGACTTGAGTTTGACGTTCGAGTATTGTCGTCGTAATGGATTTACAGACGTAAACTTGTATGCTACATCTGATGGGGAATCCTCAACCTCTCAGAACACCCAAACTACTCCAAAAATGTGTAAGCATTTCACTTTTAAGTTCTTTATGAGTTCACTGATAGGTTATGGGTTGGTTGTTAACCTTATGCATTGGTTGCTGAGGTTATGAGTTGGTTGTCAATGTTATGAACTGGTTGTTAAGGTTATGTGTTGTTTGCCTGATTTTATGAGTTAGTGTTAAGTTTGTTGCTAAGGTTATGAGTTCACTGTTATGTATACGATTTGGTTGTTATGATTATGCGTTTGTTGTCAAGTATACGAGTTTGTTGTTAAGGTCACAAGTATGTCGTTAAGGTTAAGGGTTCGTTGTTAAGGTTATGTGTTGTCTATTAAGTTTACGTTTGTTGTTAAGGTTAAGAGTTTGTTGTTAAGGTTATGTGTCGGCTGTTAAGGTTAAGAGTTCGTTGTTGTGGTTATAATTTTGTTGTTAACCTTATAAGGTATATCTTCCTTTTTGTTAGCCTTATGTGCTGGTTGCTAAGGTCATGGTGCGCTGTTAAGTATTAATGTATTTTTTACTTCTACAGGATCACCCCGACAGAAAATTCCCGATGCGCAGCTGCCACGCTCACCCAAACATGTAATGATAAGCGTATTATGACAATCCCACTGGCAACTCGATCATGCTGCTGGAAGAGATAATTAATAACCAAACCAAGATCCCAGCTGAGTGGTACACAACAATACATAAAATTGGTCAGAAATTTGATAGTGTTGCTAAAGTTAGATTAACACTTTAATACTATTCAATTGCGAAAAGGTTCGAGTCTGATTTTTACCATAATGAACAAAGACGTATATGAGTCTATTGTCGATTCAAGCACACACATAGTTGCCCTTGGATGTTGTTTGCTTCCTCACTCACAAATTCGTTGATTTTGTCTATAAAGGATTTCTGTTCTACTACACTTGCAGTCAACATGGAGCTAATACTGGCAACTCAAGGGCATCAAGAAAGTTTATTACAGTCCAAATACAATTTTTTTTAAAGGTTAGGCCAGATCTTCATACAGTTGATATCAAGAACGATATGCTCACAAATTATGACATCAATATTAACTACAGTAAAGCGTGGAAAAGTAAAGAGAGAGCTCAACAGGACATGTTCGGTGACGACGATCAGGCTTACGATTTACTGAGATGATACATTCTTTTATTCTTATGTTTTTGTTGTAAAGGTTTAGTATTGGTTGCTAACCTTATATATTAGTTATGAAGGTTATATATTGGTTGGTAACCATACATATTAGTTGTTAAGATTATTGGTTGGTTGTTGAGTATACTTATTGGTTGTTAATGTTAAAGATTAGTTGTTATGGTTATAAATCTATTGCTAAGGTTACTATTTTGTTGTTATATTTATGCAGGTATGAAGTCATGGTTGAAGTAACTAATCCAAGAAGTCGTGTTGTTATTGATGTTAATGACGGAAGGTTTAGGCGTTTGTTCATAAGTTATAATTTCTGTAATGAAGGATTCATTACTGGGTGTATGCCTCTCTTATTTTTGGACGGAACATTTCTTAAAGACCGCTACAGAGGTATACTACTTAGTACCACATGATATGACAACACCCATGGAATATTTTCTCTTGCTTATTATGTATGTGACCAGGAGAATGAGGATAATTGAAAATGGTTCTTACAATGATTGTGAATGATACTGTATAATAAGGTAAAAGCCTTACAATCCTCCACATCAACTGGTAATGATTTCCGATGCCGACAAGGGTATTAAGATAGCAGTCGATGAATTCTTTTCAGATGCTTTCCATTCAAGATGTGTTCTGCTTCTAGTTGAGAATTTCAAAAAAAAAGATGAAGGATTTTGGTCATAAAGCAAACATCACTCAGATTTTGAGTGATTTGTTACAAACTGCGGCTTATAAGTACACAATTTCTAAATGGGATGATTACATGAAAGAAAAATTGGCATCGATCGATCATAGGGCTTATGTTACTGTAATTGAATACTCCACAGAGAGATAGACAAACGCTTATTTTTCTGATATAAGGTATGATAACTTTGTTTAAACGTTATTTGTTAAGGCTATTTTAGTTGTTAAGGTTAGAGTTAGTCTACAGATTTGTTGTTAAGGTTAGGTTTTGGTTGTTAAGGTTAAAATTCTATTGTCAATGTTAGAGTTTTATTATTAAAGTTAGAGTTTTGTTGTTAAGGTTAGGGATTTATTGTTAATGTTAGAGTTTTATTGTTAAGTTTACCCTTTCGTTGTTAAGTTTATTTTTTGGTTGTTAAGGTTACTTCGAATGTTGCAGATATGACCATGTTACTTTAAATGTTGTTGAGTCCTTCAACATTTGGATAAGAAAGGCATGAATGTTACAAATCTTACCTTTGGTGGAGACGATACGAAAGCAAATCATGGAGCGCATGCATGAAAGAAGGCTTATGGTAACGAATTGGTCTGGATACTTATGTCCAGAAGCGGAGATAGTGTTGAGTGATAATATTCATCATAGTAGTTGCTTGGTCATTAAACATTCAACGGAAGATATTGTGGATGTCGAATCTAATAAAACTAACTGTGTAGATTTAAAAAATCAAGCATGTTCATACAGGTCTTGGGATATAACCCACATTCCTTGCAAACATGTGTATGATGCAATTACTTGGATGGGACTAGATATTTATTAATATTGTGATTGGTTTATGACTGTTGAAGCTTTCAGAGCAAGTTATGCATTGATCCTCTTTTCTATTCCAAATTACGAGAAACGCTTTGTACGACGAGAAGACTGATTGTTAAAGCCTCCCCTCACTAAAAAAAGACGTGGAAGACCATGTACTAGACGAATAAACAATAGGTCACTAAACACTCATCCTATTAAGTGCTCTTGATGCTACATGGAGGGTCACAATCATCAAACTTGTAATGAGCCTATCTAGTTTAGCATTTTATTGTTAATGTTATGGACTGGTTGTTAAGGTTATGGCTTAGTGGTCAAGTTTATGGTTTTATTGTTAAGTTTAGAGGTTTTATTGTTAAGGTTATGGATTGGTTGCTAAGGTTACTGTTTGGTTGTCAAGTTTACGGATTTGTTGTCAAGTTTAGCATTTTATTGTTAAGATTATGGATTGGTCGTTAAGGTTATTGTTTGGTTGTCAAGTTTACGGATTTGTTGTCAAATTTACGGATTTGTTGTCAAGTTTAGCATTTTATTGTTAAGGTTATGTATTGGTTGTTAATGTTAATGTTTGGCTGTCAATGTTATTGTTATGGATTAGTTGTTAAGGTTACTGTCATTCACTTGCGCTTGGTTGTCAAGGTTACCGAGATCTTTTTTCTGTTCCTACATTTAATGTATTTCATAGTACAGTTTGTTTCCAAGACAGGAAAGTTATGATAACCTTTCTCCTACCTATTCCCGTCTTCCACGCGACATCATCCCTTTGTTTGTTCCAAGATAGGACAGTTATGATAACCTTTATCCTCACTCTTTCTCCTCACTCTTTCTCCTCACTCTTT